ATGCTGGCTTTCTCTCGACTGTTGGAGACTTTCTTCTTGTTCATTTTCTTTCTCCTCCAACCACTGCTGTAGTCTATCTTCTTGTTTCTTTTCTTTCTCCTCCAACAACTGTTGTAATCTCTCTTCTTGTTTCTTTTCTTTCTCCTCCAACCACTGCTATAGTCTGTTTATTTTCTTTCTCCTCCGACAACTGAACTGCTGTAATCGCTCGTTTATTTTTCTGTTCGATCTGCCACTGTTGCAGGTTTTCTTGCCATTGCTGTTGTCTCTCTTCTTGTTTCTTTTGCTGTTCTTGTGTTGCTGCCATCAAATCTACTAAGTTGTAGTTTGATTTGCCACCTCTCGTTTCCATCTTTTTTTTTCTTTTCGTCCAACTCTCTGACACCAATTTGTTGCATATCTGCTTGTTTGTTAATTTCCAGTATAAATTCTTTATGAAGAACTTCAGCGATACAAGTCCCTTCTTCATTAAACCTGTTTATTCTTTCTCGATACAAACTTTTAGAACACAGTAATTTCACAGTCAGTTCGTTTCTCGTCACTTTAAACTTTTATAATACATGCTATAAATCACAGTGATTCACATTCTCGATAATTTTTCTCTACGAGTACTAACACATACTTTATATTACCGTCACTACTGTTCGCTTCTTTAATTATCTATCTATCACTGGCTTCTCTGCCAGGCTTATATACCAATGATCATTCCAGAAATTCATCACGTGCCACCAGGGTCACTTCCGCTGTCGTAATAAACCTTTATAAAGACTCAAAAGATTTGTAAGGCAAGATTTTCCCTTAATGAAACTATGTTGACTATCCAATAAAATTCTAAATTTTGTTAAATGACTTTGTAAAGAATCTTTTATAAGATTTTCCAAAATTTTTCCACACCTGATGTAAAACTAATAGGCCTATAATTACTGGGACAATTTTTATTACCTGCCATGAAAAGAGGAGTGACATTAGCTAACTTTTGGATACAGTGCCTTCCCTCCTCTCACAAGATTAGCTTTTTCTGTTTTGTGCTCTATATGCG